TATATATATATATATATATATATATATATATATATATATATATATATATATATATTAAACCGCTCTTTTTCTTACACTTTTTATTTATATGTATTTTCATACATTTGTAATATAGACTTATTTATATGTATTTTACACACGATCACACTAACATCCGTATATATATATATATATATATATATATATATATATATAAAAAAATGGACAAAAGTCCGACACTTTATTTATTAAAGACATTTTTATGTTTAACGTTCTTTTTTTTATAGATACAAGTATTTAAGAAAAAGACTTTGTTTATAATAAACACTATTAAATAACATTTTCAGGCCGGTAAATGTTATTTAATACTGTTTATTATAAACAAGCATTTACTTAAATACTTGTATCTATAAAAAAAAAAAAAAAAAAAAAAACGAACGTTAAACATAAAAATGTATTTAATATATATATATATATATATATATATATATATATATATATATATATATATATATAGCAATTCAAGTTTTAATAGCTCCTGATGGAACACGTTACAGTCACGTGGACAACATTTTCTGTTTGTCTTCCACCTATAAATTTAGAGGTGGTGTGGAGGGGGGTTCAAATTGACATTCACCTGTTAATGCTGACTTCCATGGTATCGAAAAACTTAAATTATAAAAATTGTTTTTGAAATCTAGGTGCCGCGACGCTTCAGGACTTGTGATCATGGCTCTCCACAACTTCCTGCCCTTTTTAGCTCCTAGTGAAGTGTGCTTTTTTGCTATCTCTCTTTATCCGTTCTGCCAACTAGTGACACACGCTTAATGAGCTTGTGTTAAGCTTGCTATACGCCACTTTCTCCCTGTTCCTCTTGCTGTCAATGTGTCATGGGAGTGTTAAAGTCACCAAGCCCACGCATTATGGGCCCCAGAAATTCAAATTGCCTATTTGATTCGAACTAAAAGACTTATGAAGATGCCATTTCTTTATATTTTCATTATTTTCGGAGACATTTTAATTTAAAATAAAAAGCTGGAAACACGAGAATCTTCCCGAGTGTGCCAAGCGGATAAAAGAAACGGAAGTTGGTGATCGGTGAGAGTGGGGTCGTGAGTTTCTATAAAATAGTTCTGCACTGTGTTGTTTAGGTACAAATTTTTATTTCTTAGTTTTATTTGTTTAGCAACAACACCTCAGGAGTCATTTAATGCCAAAGTTTAATTTTCTTCGGAGCTTGGAAGTAATAAAAATAGGATACATGTTATTCTGCTTTCACAATTGAATACATGGTAGATGATACTCAGATTTTGTGCATATACATGTTTGTATGGACATTATTACTAGAGGTGGTGATATGTTATTGTTTTTTTTTTAAAATGTAATTTGAAGATCGGGAACACTAGAATCAAGCAGAAGCGGAAGTCTAAATATCTGGGAAGCGTCTTGACAGAGGACGGTAAGTGCGACACTGAGATCCGTAGACGTATTGGGATGGCCAAGGACACATTCCAAAAGCTGGGCAGAGTATTGCGAGACAGGAGGATTTCTTTGATAACAAAGAAAAGAATACTGAGCTGTTACGTGACATCTGCCCTTCTTTACGGAAGCGAACGTTAGACGATTTCCTCAAAGATGAAGAAGAGACTCGAGGCAACGGAGATGTGGTTCTACAGAAGGATGCTAAGGATATCATGGACCGAGCGTGTGAGCAACGATGAGGTTTTGAAGATGATGCAAACAATGAGGAGGCTTATACGTAACATCAGGAAGAGACAGCTGAAGTTTCTGGGACACATGATGAGGAAGGAGGGCCTGGAGTCAGAGGGACAGAGAAACAAGGGAAAACAACGTATGACATATTTAGCGGGCTTAAGCAAGTGGATGACAGAACGTGATCTGGGCGAGGTAGCAGAGGGAAGGAACTTGTTGAGAGCTGCAAGGGATAGAAGGAAGTGGAGAGCCACGATCGCCTACGCCCTGAAAGGACAAGATACATAAAAAAGAAAAAGAAAGTATATTATATGGATTAATGTAATGAAAGTTTTTTTCGTGTTGGTCGTTTTTGTTTTTAGGGCATTTCAACTTCAGTTGATCATTTGAACACAGTATGGCTTCAACTAAATATATTTTGAACGCAATGGCATACCTTCAACTACAGATAGGCATTGTTGGTAATTTTACTATAAATATGCATTGTTATACTTTCTTAGTGTTTTGTTTTTGTCTGGGGGCACTATTTGCCCATGGCTGTGGCCCTAACTAGTACTACTACCCCGGTCTGGGTGGATCAGGGAATAAAAGCAAATAAGGGGTGATTCTACGCTCTTCAAAACCTCCAGTCATCCGATCTGAAGGCTTGTTGCCGGATGTAGTTTATCGTCATACCCAAGACTAGCCACATTTCAGCGTCAAATAATGTTAATAACGTAAGGTCTCCACTTTTGGAAATACGCGCCTTGACTGAATTTTGTCTTCCGCACACTGGTCTAGCAAGAGATTACTTTCAGCAATGCTATTTAATCTCTGGGGAAATCCCCATTATTCTATTCTTGACCGACGCACGTCAGGAGTAAAAAGAAAAAAAAAATGTCGGTGCTTAAGGTATCAAGATAACATAGTTTTCTTATCATTGCATATCAAATGGAATTTGAGCATGCTTATCTCCATTTTGGAATTTAAAACATTGCATATCTAGGTTCAGTTGAATGAGTTGTTTTGCTCTGTAGATACAGTCGTCTTTATTTAAAAGATTTGTAAAGCTTAGTTTAGAGTGACATTAGGGCGAATTGTGAAAGACTCCGTAACTAAGCTAAAACACTGATACGGAAGGCTAGGCTCATAGCGATAGGAGTTCAAATCTCGCCGGAGCATCTTTATTTCACTTCAAACCTACGCTGATTTTATATATATATATATATATATATATATATATATATATATAATTTCACCCCAATCAATACGATAACGCTACCAAGACACAAGGGACTACTAAGAGTGAAAGAGAATGAAAAGATTTTAGAAGGAACTGGAAACCCAATCCTAAACACGGAAAAAGGGATAAACCTCTACTCCTGTTAAATAGACTGGGAAAGAGTGTAAAACGGGCGATAGGCAAACCTATCTAATTGTACAAAGTATTGATAAAAATAAAATAAGTAACAAAATAAAAGACTATGCTTCAACAAAGAAATTTGATATTCCTAATAAGCGCTTGCGAGTTTGGGCTTGTTAAAACGCTGCCCTTCGGTAGACATTGAAATTCATTTTGTGCAAAGCTAACTTCAGCACAAAACTCAATGAACGGAATACGCAGTCAGTGACCAGCAACGAATTGTTAACGATTTAGAAGAAATTGCAGGCTAACTACAGCGCTAGAGTTACTACGCGAAAAATCATTCAAACAAACAGAAAAGTCACACACGCACACGAAATAGGGGGCAGGAGAATACACGAGGGAAAAAGCGATAAGACACAAAGAGAGACACGGGCGCGCGCAAGGGCAAAAATAAGAGACACGGGCGCGCGCAAGGGCAAAAATAAGAGACACGGGCGCGCGCAAGGGCAAAAATAAGAGACACGGGCGCGCGCAAGGGCACAAAAAATAAGAGACACGGCGCGCGCAAGGATTCAAAATAAGAGACACGGGCGCGCGCAAGGGCAAAAATAAGAGACACGGGCGCGCGCAAGGAAAATTCAACTAACGTGACTCGCAGATGTTTTTTGTCTCCCCCCACCCAATATTTTATTTTTCTTAAAACAATACAAGTCGCCCCGACCATCACTTAACAAGGAAAAATATGGTTGATTGATATTATTATCTTCGTATGGGATTCTTCTTAACTTTTAACCAGATATTTTAATAACCACAGCTCTTTAAATAATAAAGAAATTATGATCACGAACTAAATAATGAAAGTTTGTAAAGAATCATTATGATCACGAACTGTAAAGAATCATTATGATCACGAACTGTAAAGAATCATTATGATCACGAACTGTAAAGAATCATTATGATCACGAACTGTAAAGAATCATTATGATCACATTAAAGAATTTATAAATACGAATTAAAGAATCATTATGATCACGAACTGTAAAGAATCATTATGATCACGAACTGTAACCAATTGTGGTCGTAGGGACACTGCGTGTACTGCAGTCGTAACAACAATAGGTGTATCTACAGCAGCCTAGCCTCGTTTTGAATTTTCATTTTTTTGACTGATTGCCGTTCAAGGCTGGAGAACCAAATTTGCCCTGCTATTTAATACATAGCTGGTGGGGACGCATATATGCCTTTCTCAAAGGCATTTCTGCAGATGTGAACGTAACAGATTAAGCCGGAATCTGAACTAATCTCGCTGATATCCGGTGCACTACCAGCCCATTTCCAATGAAGAGAATAGCATGAAAAAAGAAAAAAAGTAAAAGAAAATGCCGATGATAAAAGACACACGCAAAATAAAAATGTTATATTTTTTATAACTCGTCCGTCAATTGAGACGGAATTAACGTTATTCAAGAAGAACGCTTTGGTTGTAAATTGATTAGTTTTAATTGAAAATTACTACCTTCTTCAGAGTTCAGACTGAGTTTTGTGCGAAAGACTTCCAAATCAAAAATTTAATTAACACTGGCGTATGGTTCCTAATCGATAACAAACTTTGCGTAGAAGAAACACAACCGACCTGCTAGTTATTGACACTTTTTCACCTGGGTGAAGAGGAGATATCTATTCAGGAAAAAAAAAAATCTGAATTACTGACCGCTGACACGAGGGAAAACAATCTAGCTGCGTTTTCTACAGGGAAGGCGTGGAGAGCCTACCATGTTTCCTACCACTGGTGAGATGCAAGTTTCACTTGAGCACTTTCTCCCCGAGAACCACTGCTCTGTGGAACCGACTCCCGAAAGGATGCTTCCCCGATCACTGCAATCTTAACCTGTTCAAGTCTAGGGTCAATCGTTATTTTTCCCCATAAACTGTGCCTCTTAATATGTAACCCTCTTCCTCGAGTTACGGCCACATCACGTTGAAACACCCGTTCCCGTACGAAATCACTGAAGTTAAGCAACGTAGAGCGTGGTTAATACTTCGATGGGTGACCGCTAGGATATACCAGGTGCTGTAAGCTTGGATACGCGTGTGGTGTAATGTATAATGGCTCAGAATTGTTAATAGGAGAGCCGAATTCAGATTCCAGTTGGGTTCGTTATATTCACTTACTTTAGAAAGATATGAATCCACTTAACAAAGCTACGAGTTAATTAGTAAGACATGTATTACTAAAACATTATTATTAAAAATTAAAACAAAATTTCGTACAAAATATTTACATTTCGGTATTAAATAACCTATATGCCGCTAAAAAAAAAAAAAAAAAAAAAAAACACACTTTTGCGTGGCGCTTATTGTTAAAACAAAAAAAAATGTTCAAATTGTTTTTAATGTAACTTTTACTCTGGCCGTCAACTTACGGCATGGTGTTGGAAATAAAGATAAGTTTCGCGTATGGTCTAGAACTCTCCGGGGTTACACAAACGTGGGTTCAAATCTCAACGAAAGTTTATAATTTATTTCCGATCCTGTGCCATATCTTCACTGTCTTAGATTGTCAGCCTGGGTAATAGTTACGATTAAAGAGCAGCTAAAAATTAATATAAAAATATCAATCAAAATTAATAATCATATTTGACAAAGCTTCAAATATCTTATTTCTGGACCTGCGTTGTCTAATCACTGTCACAGATTGACAGCCTGAGTAAAAGTTGTGTAAAAAGCAACTAAAAATCAAGATAAAAATAAATATCACTTAATAATAATGGTTGACTAAGTTTCATCTAATATCCTTTATTTCTGATCCTGTGCTGTCTACTCATTGCCGTAGATTGATGGCCCGAGTAAAAGTTGTGATAAAAAGCAAGTAGAAATTAAGATGGCAGTAAATACAAGTCAAAATTAATAATAATGCTTGACAATGCTTCATCTAATATTCTTTATTTCTGATACTGTGCTGTGTACTCATTGTCGTAGATTGATGACCTGAGTAAAAGTTGCGATAAAAAGCAAGTAAAAATTAAGATGAAAGTACTAGTCAAAAGTAGTAATTATTGGCAACACTCAATCTTATATCCTAATGATAAAGGACACGTCCCAGTGGATAAAGACGTTGGTTAGATCCAGTAACTAGACCCAAAACGTTGCGAGTTCAATACCAGGCCGCAGCAGTGGTGAATCAAAATTTGGAGAGTTGAGTTAAAAGGGATATAGACATGACACGTGGAACTAGAACAATCTTCTCCGATGGACGAAATAAAGGGTTCGGTTCAGAATTCCAATCACCTGAAGAAGGCCGGAGCGTACAACGGCCGAAACGTTGTGAATATTGCAATGAAGATGGGGATAACAGTTCGAATAATGTAAATAATGCAAGCAATCGTAACACCTCATCTCAGAGATATAGACAGTGATAAAAAGTCATGTGAAAAAAAAAAATTTTTATCTTAAAAAATCTTTTAGTGCTAATGCATTTTATAACGTTAACAATTCTATTTCCATAGAATTATTTTCTCACTTTTGCTGAAAAGAAATTATCCTCTTCAAGACGATTTTTATAGTCTCTGGAAATTACCAGACAGAAAAAAAATGTAGGTAAAGGCATTAAGTTCTTCGAATTTTGCGAACAAAGAAAATTTTCAAAAAATACGCTATATTGCTGAAATCGATATTTTTTTAAAAAAAAACATTTAATCCTAAGTAAGGTATTAATACCACTATGACGCAAAGTGTTATTGGGGCTGAAAGAGAATGAGAAGACATGTTTTGGTGAGAAAGGACACAAATAGAACAGGTTTTAGGAAAACAGAACATGGCAATTGACGTTGCATTTAAATTTTTGAAGATCGTACAAGTTACACTTATATCTAGCCATTTCAACAGTAAACGAGGAGACAATTTCCAATTCAGTCGTACGCACTAAAATCATATTTGTGATTAGGCGAACTTGGTTGATAATTTATATACTATATCGATAATTTTATATATAAAAAGGTAATAAATCCATTGGTATATACTCCAAGTGGATCCTAGTAATATAAAATATTAAAACTGATCCACAAAAAAGAGCTCGATGTATTTATCATTACAGAGCGAAAAAGTAATACACAATGAAATCCAAAAATCACCTCAGATAGGAAATAAGCTTATTTCGACCGCTGAAAAAATTACGTCAGTTTTATTCAACCCCGGTATAAACTGAGCTCATGTCGGAATTAGAAATTTAATTTGAAATTAAATTTAAATTAGAAATTTCTAATTCCGAAGTTGAATAAAACTGACGTAATTTTTTTTCGTAAGTTGAAATAACGTTATTCCCCATATGAGGTGATTTTGGATTTTATTGTTTATTAATTATTTGCTCTGTAATAATAAATACATTAAACTCTTTTTGTGGATCAGTTTTAATATTTTATATTACTAGTATCTACTTGGATTATATACAAACGGATTTATTACCTTTACTATATAAATAAAACAACCTTTTTGGGGAAAGTTGCGTTTCTATAGAAATGCCAAAACATGTCTCTTATGAATTGCTTGAATATGAAATTAGTTTTCTTTTGGACATTTTTCATCTTTGAGAAAAAGAGAAAAAAAAAAATCAGTTCAGTGTAATGTCCGAACTGAATTTAAAATTGGATACAGATTTTATACCCGTTTAGGCAAATACAAATGCAAGAGTACCTGAATTCTGTACCTCAGTTTTAAAATAATAATTAGAAAAAGATAAAAGAAAATAAATTTCCGTCAGTTCGTAATAAATTCAGATTCTATTTCAAGTGGCTTTTTTTCGCTATCGTTAATCTTTTAGTGACTTTGGTATTTTTTCTTAATTATTTTTTTTTTTTGCTCATTTTATACCAGTTTTTATTCTAATTGAATTTTGCTTTTCTTACACAGCCACAGTTGCGTAAACGGACGCAAAATCCAATATTCATCTTAAAATAAATTAAACGTTGACGGTCATAAGTTCGCACAAAAATCAGAGTCCACTTGGACATTATAAACTGAGTCCCTGCTTCAGAGTTTGTCACGTGATATCCCGACTGAACGGACACTAACTTTAAAAAAAAGAAGAAAACAATTTAGTCGTTCAAGTTCCAACACGTTATAACACGTCAAATTTGACGAAAGATATATGCTTACATTATCGATTAGAGCACACTTCAAACTATCTCTTAAGAAAGAAAGTTTAAAGTTACTTAATTCGTGTCAATTATTGCATCCCAATGAAAATGGAAGATAAGTTGCATTTTAGACACTTGATGTTTTTTTTTTTTTTTAAATAAAAACAAAAGCAAAAGCAAAAAAAAAAAATGTGCTGTGTATGGTGAAGGTGTTTTAGTTGATAGAACTATACGGAATTGGTTCGCTAAGTTTATAGTTGGTGATTGTAGCCTTATTGATGAAGAAATGCTCAGGCAGAGACAGACCACACACTACAGATGACGACCAAATCAAGACATTGATTGAAAGTAATCCGCATTACACAATGCAGAATTGGTAGAAACACTAAATCTATCAAAATCCACCATCCATGAGCACTTAATGAAGCTTGCACTTGCTACTCAAATCGCAACGATATTTGGGTTCCACAAAGTGAAAAGAGTTGCATTTCACCTGTGATTTTATGCATAAACACAATGAAAATGTACCCTTTTTAAGTAAATTATGACTGGTGATGCAAAAAGGATGGTCTATAATAATGTTCAGCGAAAAAGATCCTGGGGTAAGCGCCATGAGCCAACTTTAGCCTCCTCAAAAAGCATGTCTTCATTTTAAGAAAATCATGCTGTGCATCTGGTGAGATTGGAAAAGAATCCTGTACTATGAGCTTCTGCCAACTAAATAGTCAATTGATTCTGAAAAGTACTGCTTGCAAATCGACAAATTAAAAAGGCAGCAATTCAAGAAAAAGGCCCAGAATTGAAGATCACTAAAGGTATTGTCTTCCATCAGTACAGTGCCAGACATCACATTTCTTTGGTGACCCGGCAAAAATTGTTGCAGCTTGGCCAGGACGTCTTACCACACCAGACATATTCACCAGACATTGCTCCTTCGGATTTTCATTTATTCAGGTCCTTGCAAAATAATCTCAATGGTAAAAATTTTAATTCTTTGGATGACATAAAAAAACACCTTAATGAGTTCTTTGCCGAGAAACCACCAAAATTCTGGGAAGATGGAATCTTTAAGTTGAAGGAAAAATGGAGAAAGGTTGTGCAACAAAATGGTTCATATTTAGTTGAATAAATATTTAATGGCATAATAAATGGTTGGCAGAACAGTGATTATGGGAGATAGCGAAAAAGAATTTATTAAGGGGAGGAAATTGTGAAGAGCCTTGATCGCCCACGTTCTGAAGGGTCACTGCACAACTAATTGCGTAATTTGTGTTTGATGCTGTTTATTCCTTCAAATAGCAAAATATAACCGAGATACAGAATGATTGAAAAGTAACTCCCTATTTTATGTATGATGGACTCACCTGTCTTGTTGAAATTATAGTTAAACGGGAGAGTCTATCATTCATAAAATAGGAAGTTACATTTCAATCACCCCGTAGATTGAAAGGAAAACGAAGATAGTTACCGGCGCTATGCGAGTTTGTGCTCCCCCCCGCCACCTTACCAATTTCAAAACACTATATATTTACTTCCCAGCACATTAAAATTTGTATTAAGGTATTATGTGCACCTCGGCGTGGTTAGCAAGCTTGTCTAGCTTGATCAGTTACAACTGAAAAGAGAGTTCGATCCTCACTTTCGGCCTTGTGCCACATCTAAGCTATGCTTGGAAAATAACTAGCAAGGTATTATATTTTAACGTCTGCAAATTGTGTTTTCAAACAAGAAAAATCGACGTCAATAAAAAAAAAACAACAAAAAAACCCCCAAAAAACAAAACAAAAAAAACAAAACAAAATGGCGCTTTAAATTTAATACAAATATAAATTTAATACAAATATAAATTTAATACAAATTCCAGAACGAATAATATCAAGCTGGATATAAAATTGGCAGAGATTTGATGCCGATAATAGAGTCTTTGAATTTTTGATTCTACATAA